TGACAGAACCAGGTGAACGGAAACAAAAGGTTGCTGAAAATTTGAATGCTGATACAACTCTTGTGGAAATGCTAAGTGAACAGGTGCAGAGTGCAACAGAAATTGTGAATACTGATAAAAATCATGTGGTAACGGTGAATACTTATGATAATGGTATGGCTGGTAAAAACAAAATGATAGAGGTTGCTGATGCTAATCGTTTCGATGCTTTATGTGAGGATAATGAAGAAGTGAATGCAGAAAGATATGAAGATAGTATGGAAATAAAGAATGAGGCTGTTGTTCAGGCTCTGCAAGGAAAGAAGAGTAATGCTATTCTAGCACATAGTGGAAACACCAAATCAAAGCTACCCAAAGAGGTGAAGTTCCTGGGTCCTTTTGAGCATGATCATAGAAAGAAAAAGAGGGAGATTAAGGTGAATCTCTCGGGTGTGGAGAGATCCCCTAAGAGGGTTTGAATGTCTTATATTTTATTCTGAAATTGTAGGGGGGCCAAGAAGAAGGAGGCCTCGCTATATTTGAAAGAGGTTGTCAAGGATTAGGATGTTTTCTTCATAGGGCTAATGGAGACAAAGTTAAGCAGTATTGATAGGAGAGATGTTGACTGCCTTATTGGTAATGATTGGGAGTTTTTTCACTTCCCTGCTATGGGAATCTCATGAGGTATCTTGGTACTATGGAATAGGAAGGTTGTTTCTTTTGTTGTAGTGGAGAGTTTTTCTCAAATGGTTTTGGGTATTCTTACTATTCCCTCTATAGGATCGTGGAAGGTAGCTACGGTTTATGGTAGTAGATGTTGTAAGGAGAGGGAGGTTCTTTGGAGCCAGCTTGAGAAGGGTATGGAAGGATCTATGCTGTCCATTATTGGGGGGACTTCAATTGTATCTTGAATAAGGAGGAGAAGAAGGGTGGTAAGAGATTCATCTTCTCTAAAGGTCCTAGAGAAATGAGGAAGTTTATGGCTAATTCAGACTTTCATGATGTTGGAAGCATTGGACCAAGGTTCACTTGGTGTAATAATAAGGAAGGAGTTTCTAGGATTTGGGAAAGATTGGATAGATGTTTATTGAACTCGGTTACTTTGCAAAATATCCCTCTAGCTATTATCAGAAACCTTGCAAGGGTATAGTCCAATTACTCTCAAGGTGGATGAAAAGAAATGCTACAGATCTAGAGTAATCAGGTTTGAGGACACTTGGAGGTCTTACCCGGCGGCTAGAAGCATAGTGCAACATTCTTGGAGGAAGAAGGATTTCGGTGATGAGAGTGAAATTCTGGATAGAAAGCTTCATAGAACTCTTAAGGTACTATTTTTTGGGAACAAGAATAAGTGCAAGAGTTTAAATTAGTTGAAGGAGAAGTTGAAAAGGGAAATCCTGGAATTACAAAACAAGGAAGCTTTAGGTGAGGAATGGTCTAATGCTGATTTGTTTCTTCTCAGAAGTAAAATCCATGAACTCAATGTTACTTTAAGGAGGTTGTCCACATGGTGGAACCAGAGAGCTAAGACAAAATGGCATAAAGAGGGAGATATCAATTCTAAGCTATTTCACAATTATGCTTCGGCAAGGAGGAATGGAAATTGTATAAGACAAGTCAAGGATGCCAACAATAATTTGATTTAAGAGGATGATCAAATAGAGAAAGTTTTTTTACAATTTTTTGAGGATAAATGGAAGGTCAGAGATTGCACTATGTCGGGATGGCCTACTATAACAGAAAACCAAATGCTAAAGGAAGAGGAAGTTAATATGCTGGCTGCAGAATTTTCTCTGGATGAGCTGAGGAGTTCGGTTTTTCAGCAAGGAAACAACAAGTCCCCAGGTATGGATGGAGTGACTTCTTCATTTTACAAATGTTATTGGACTATTGTGTATGAAACACTTTGGAATGCTGTAAAAAAATTTCTGAATTCTGGACACATGAACACGGGTTGGAAGGACACGCTTATTGTGTTGATCTCTAAAATAAAGAATGCGTTAGTTCCATCCAATTATAGACCAATTAGTCTTTGTCAGACTAAGTATAAGCTTGTTGCTGCTATGCTGGTGAATAGATTAAAACAATGTATCTCTACGATGATTTTAGAGGAACAAATGGCTTTTATTCTTGGTAGATCTATTTCTGAGCATTGTTTGTTGGCTCATGAAGTCTTTCACAAGTTTAAAGTTTCTAGAAACAAGAGAGGGTTGATGGCTATCAAGTTGGACATGGAGCAGGCATATGATAGTAGGGGTGGCCGACGCTCTGTCAGATTCTTAAGTGGTATGGTTTTCCCACCTTTTTTTTCTAATCTTCTAATAGAATGTGTTGTGGATGTAAGGTTTTATATTATTATCAATGGCAGGAATTCAAAGTGGATCAATGCTTATAGTGGATTTCGTCAAGGGTGTCCACTGTCACCTTATATCTTCATCATGTGCTCTCAACTTATTTCAAGTTCTTTGCAACAAAGGGGGCATGTTCTTGGAGTGTAGGTCTCTCCTAGTGGTCCTAAGATAACACATCTTCTCTATGCAGATGATGTATTGGTTTTCTCTCAGGTTTCATTGGCTACTGCTAGAGTTTTAAAAGCTATTGTGGAGGACTTCTGTAAGTGGACGAGACATAAAATTAATTCCAGCAAATTTCAGGTTTTATATGGTAAGGCGGTTAGGCACCGTTTGAAGAAGAAGATTGCTAGATTGTTTGGCTTCAAAATTGTGAAAGACTTGCATTACCTGGGACTGAAGATTTCTCTTAACAGATTAAGGATGGCAGATTTTCAAGATCTATTGAGCCAATTTATGGAGAGACTTAATACTTGGGGAAAGAAGTCTTTATCAATGGGAGGTAAACTTACTCTTATTGAAACTTCTCTTTTATCTATGCCAAAATTTTTAATGACACATTCTTTGATGCCTAAGAGAATGTTGTCTGAGTTGGAAAGACTTTGTAGAAACTTTATTTGGCATAAAAATGATGGGAAGAGGAGTATGCATTATGTTGCTTGGGGGGTGATATGTAAACCACGAAATAGGGGGGGGGGGGGCCGGGGACTGGGAGTACATTCTCCTATGCTCAGAATTGGTCCTCTCAGAGCAAGACTGGCATGGAATTATTTGCAGAAGCCAAAAACTCTGTTTCACAGAACTGTTAACACTAAGTATGGAACGGATGTTATGCATGATTCACACAAGAAAACAGGTTCTAGTGCTTGGAAAATTTTATTGGATGGTGGAAAAAATCTGAGAGGTATTGTTAAATGGAATGTGGGTAATGGGAGCAAAATAAATGTGCTTAAAGATGTGTGGCTGTTAGACAAATGCTTGGATCGATGGCCTACCTTTGCGGATTGTGCTGCGCTTGATGGTATGACTATACAACATCTTATATTAGATGGTAGATGGAATCACAACTTGCTTCAGCAGTTGATTCATACAGAGATCATTGTATTAATCAGCCAAATTCAAATTAATGCTTTTGAAGTGGAGGATAAGCTGGAATTGCTGAGTATGTTCTCGGGTAAGATTGTGTCAGCATTGTCTTATGATAACTTGATGAAGTGTAGCTATCTTGGGGATGATGATGGTTATGGTAATTGGCTCAAGAAGTTAAAGCTTAACAAAAAGGTAGAGATTTTTTGGTAGAGGCTCTCCAAATCTATGATCCCTACAAATCAGTTCCTTAAATACAGAAGAATTTCATTGAATGATCAGTGTGCTAGAGGATGTCCGGTGGTCGAGAATTATGAGCATATTATGGTTCTTTGTAAATATCTGATTGATACTATTATAAAGATGCGTGAGCTGGGTTTCCACATTCCCATCTTTCAGTCTTTGGAAGACTGTTTAATGGAGCTGAGAAGTTTGACAAAACGGAACTCTGGAATTGTTAGAATATATTGCACCATAGTTTATTTGAATTGGAAAAACCGGAATGAAGTTAAACATGGTAAATTTGCTTTACCATGTTCTGTATTAGCGGCAAATGCTCTTTATATGGCCAAGTCTAGTCCATATCTAGATTGCTGGGTACTAATCTCCTTCGGGAGTTTCCAAAAGCTTGGTGCCCTCCACCGCTAGATTGGATTAAGATCAATGTGGATGCTTCATTGCTCAATTCAAACGCTACTGGAATCGGAGGGGTCTTCAGGGATCACAAGGGTAGGCTTATCCTTGCATTCGGGAAGAGCAAGCTCCACTGGGATATTGCTCAATTAGAGATGGACGGTATGCACAGTGCGTCATTTTATTCGGAGCTGGATGCTTGAGTGCAAAGGGGTCAAGCATGTTTGATAGTTTAGATAGGAATTTTATGTTTGATAGTTTTTCTTTTGATAACATTCGTTCCTTGTTGTTGAAATTAATCAAGGAAGAATGTGATCACACTAGCAATTGTAATTAGTTACTTTTTCTTTCCTTAATGCAATTTGATGCATCTTCTCAAAAAAAAAAAAAAAAAAAAAAAAAAAAAAAAAAAAAGAATATATCATGAATCACTCCTTTCTAATAGTATAATATCTCTAGAAAAGAATAGTGCTACGATCTCAAGGTCAGTTGCAGTATCTCTGTAAATTAAAAGAAAACCTTCAGAATTGGCATGGTGTCCACCAACAGCAACATTGACAGAACTACAATGAGCCCTGGGACATGAGAAATTATTATTTGCAGAGTTTGGACGGAAGAACCATCCGGATTCAATGAGAGTAAACAACAAATACACAGCAACAAATAAAACTGCATATTTGTTGTATACTTATTGTATACCTTCACAGAATTCGAACGATTCTCCCATCCATACTCCGCAAGTAATAATCTCTCTTGGGACACAGGTCCCTGTTGGGCCATGAAAAAATTTGGATATTATAGTTCTCATCATATAAATAAAAATATTCTTAATAAAAGAATTTTCAATCAAAATTTCCAACAAAAGTAGAAAAACAAATTCATATCTAAAAATATCACTTTAAAATGAAGCAAACTTATAAAGCATAATAAGATATGGAGGATAAAAGGTGGTTTTGCTCAATCATCAGGAATTCATATTTCATATCATAGAGGAAGATAAATAAAGGATTCAGTATGTGCAGCACTTTGTATGGTGTAAATAGAAAGAAGTACACAAAGATTTGAAAGAGAGAACTAGAAGTACTTAAAAAGGGAGAATCGATATACATAACTTTCTTTTGCATTTCTCAATCTATATATTAACATTGTATCAAATGATGTCGCTTTAAGGTTAGATGAACAGACCAGCAGGACAAGAAGCTGTATAATTACATCATTTCTGCATTCCAGAAGTATAAAGGGGTGATCGTTTCTCCTCTCTGATTCATTTCTTCATCATATATCAATCCTCATTCTATCTACGCGTTTCCATTTTCAGTGTGATTATTGCTATCAATATTCTCATTTTGGACAGTTTCATCGACAGAAACGTGATCTTCATAGAGATCCTGATATGGTTCTTCCATTGATAAAGATTTTTGCAGCAGAATATTGTATAACATATGCGAATCATCAAGTTCGAACCGATGGTCTGGTTTATGTTGCTGGTTAAATCTGCCTGGAAGCTTAGAACTGGTATTATAGCAAGATTCACACAGATCAAAACCAATTGCTTCTTTGCAATCTTTGCATTTGTATCTTTTGCCAATAATAGGGTACATCTGCATACAAAAGATAGCAGATTAATCAAAGGATAATGTTCCCTAAACTTTTCAAGTGTGCTCATTTTGGTCACAAATTTAGTCCCTCAACTCAAAATCTGAACCAAATTGACCCACCATCAACATTGTTGTTTCACTGGACAGAAATTGGAGATGGGAGTTTTATATAAGAACGGGCAAATCTCACTAATTAATACCAATTAAAACTAATAAAATTAATCATAAAAATCCAAAAACCTCATTGAAAGCTTCTCTCCATAACACTTCTGTCCAAAGTATTTGGAAAATTGCCGATAGTATCAAATTGGTTGAAATTTAGTAAGAACCAACTTGAACACAAAAAAACAAATCTAAGACTGAAATGGACGCATAAGAACTCTAGGAATTATTTTGATCATTTCTTTTGATGGACGATAGTTGATCAACCAGAAGGAAATAATCAACTAGGTTAGTGAAAGAAATGCACATGAATGAAACTCACCCCACAAGAATCGCAGCCAACTCCAACATTGGCTTTTGGCAGGTCTTCATCCAGCCAGAGATGGCCACCCCTGCTGATATGGTTGCGGGAAACACCTGCTATACTATCAAAGTCAGCCTCCAGTTTTAAGTCCTTGCCCTAATATGGTTAGCGTAAACTGCCTTAAGGATCAGCAGCATGTAGTGATATGTTACTATTAAAGAAACGTTAATAAAGTGTAATTATTTAGGATAATTACAAGCTATTTTACATTAGGAAGGTTATAAAGAACAGAGTAGGGAAATGTAATTGGGAGTAGTTGCTGCTCAATTTATACTAAAAGAAAGTTTGGAGACTAATTTTAAGAAATAGATGAACTATTTAGGTAATTTCAGTGCAGGTACTGATAGCATAAATATAGGCATGACAAAAACTTTACTGATTATAACCACGCTAAATCGATTAATGATCCCAATGTATGTAATGTCATTTCCTCATGATGAAATAGCTGCTCCTGTGCTTATTTAAATAGGCATAAGCGTGAACTTATTTCAAATTAAAGGAACATTTTCCTCTCATGTTCTATCTTCTACACTTTCTTTAGTTCAAGTCTCCTCAACTATAAATATGTTCTTTGAAGTTTTTTAAATTTTAAGTCATATTAAACTATTACTCTTACTTGGTCATTGTTCCTTCATTACCCTACAGAGCAAGTTATCACCTAAAGAAAGGACCTCTCCTTTTATAACGGTCTGCATCATGGCGAGCTCCAAATCTAAGACTTGCCTCTAGAGTAGATACCACTTTATGTGGATTTTGCAACAAATAGAGAATTCAAATTATAGGGTTCAATGTCTCTCTATGATCGAGCTGTCAAAATATGTGCTGTTTAGTTGTGATTAGGACGATTAAATATGGTCGGTCACCCATGTGCGGATTGTAACATGTATGATAAATTTTCATAAATTATATTCAAGTTCATAGTTATTAAATTCAACAAAGAAATAATGATGCAAGACATATATGAAATTATGATTTAGATAAAGACTTTGCACGCTTAATGATTAAGAGCAAGTTAATTAGAGCTTTATGGTGAGCTAAACAATGAAATAAAACACAGAGCGGTAACACAAGTTTAGGTCAAGTTACTTGCGAAAAGTACAAACCACATAACAATCAATTACTCTTGACATTGCATACGAGATAGGTTTCAACAAGCCCTAATATAACAATAAGAGTAGTGCTACTCTTGACATTGCATACGAGATAGGTTTCAACAAGCCCTAATATAACAATAAGAGTAGTGCTATGAAAGATCTCTCACACAATCCCTACTAAACATTAAGCTTTAGCGGAGCGTTGTAAGATTTTACATGAATCAATCAAAACCACGAACAAGGATCAATCGAGGTAGGTAAGAGAAGACGTAAGAGTTCACCCTTTGTTAAGATTCAACCATTTTGCAAACTTGGACAGCAGTTGGTGGCTTCTAGGACGGCTCGGACAGCAACAAATCAAAACTAGAACCTTTGGACAGCAAGTAACCAACTTGGGACAGCGATTCCTGACGGTTCTGGGCAGCTACGGTCGTTCCCAAAGAGGATGGACAGCAGCGAACTCCTGCCGGACTCACTGGACAGCAAACAGGAGGTCTTGGACAGCAACCCTCTGGGGTTTGGAAGGGTGGACAGCCAATATTAGCATCCAGAAATCTCTGCACAGCAGGGAAGCTGGCGTTGGAGGCTAAGGTTTGATGTGGGTGGCCGGTAGAGAGAGGGAGAAGAGGGAGAACTCAGATCATAAAGTCCTCACAAAATGAGAGTGAAATCTCTGGGTAGTGTCTTATCTACAAACCCATATGCCTTCCAAAATTTACCTCGGTAAAACTCCCTCGCCGAATAAGAAAAGCGAGCGGAGGCCGGGGCCGAATTTTCGGAGCCCACAATTAATTCCTTTGATTGGAGCTTAGAGTTTTGGAAAGAAATTAGTTGGGAGAGGGGCCATGTGGCCGGCGGCATCAAGAGAAAGAGAGGGGATTGAGGAGAGGATTTAATGATTGCCTCTTTGGGAATTCCAATTAAGGAGTTAAGAATTAATTCCAATCCAATTCAAATTTGATTTGAATTTGATTGAATCAGTTTCCTAAAATAGAATTTTATTTTAGGAAGCAATTTGAATTTTGGGGAGAGGAGGGAAGGGGCCGGTCATGTGGGGATCTATTTTGGGATTGGATTGGAGGTTTTAATGGAGAGCAATTATTGGGATGGGGATGCTAGGTGGGCCGGCAACATTAAGAGAGGGAGAGGGTTTTGAGGAGGGGTTTTAATGCTAGCCTAAATGGGATCCTTAATTGAAACCAAAGAAATTAAATAAAATCCCATTGGAATTTAATTTGGATGAGATTTAAAAAACCTTCCTAAAATAGATTTATATTTTAGGAAACAATTCAAATTTCAAAATTGATTCGAAATTCGAAATTAAGACTCCCAAAACTAGGATTATATAAAAGGTAAGAATTAATGGGAGTTGAAGGTGGAGGGAGGGGATTGGGATGGAGGCCGACGACCTCAACTAGGGTGATGGCCAACGGTTGGGTGGGGAATGATAAGGTCGGCAGCTACTGAAGGAAGGGAATTAAATGGGGTGGTTGGTGCTTAATGGAGGATGAGGAAGGGAAAGGAAAAGAGGAAAAAGGAACGAAAGAAAGGTAAGGAAGAATAACCACGAACCCATTTGTCTCCAAGGTTAGTGGGTGATTCGATTTCCCTCCCTAGGGATTTCTCCAAAGCTCTCTCCTAGAACTCTCGCAACTCTCCAAAGAACACATGTGCAAGAATTTTCTTATAATTCATTCATTAACCCTCAAAGAAAAAGAGGGAGGCTTTAAATAGCCCATACAATGAGTTTCACGACCCGGTCCGGTGAGCTCGCATAGGCGATGCGGGAACGGAGGTCGGATGGTAGACTAAACTATCAAATCTCTGAATCAATCTCCATAATATTTGAAAGAGCCACTAAGATAATAAAATTTAAAACACATAAACATAACGTCAAACAGATTCATAAAATTACCTTTCTTTTGGAGCTCATCTCCTACGATAAACATTTTCACCTCTTATACTCATTTTGATTTACTTATACTTACCTGAAAAATATTAACTAACAGTAAGACAAAGCTCAATAAGTAAAACACGATTCTAAACTACAGTAATCAAGGCAAAATGAACAATATGCTAAATGTCAATTTCATTTAAAACATAACATAAATTGATTTCTTAATAGCATATCATTAATATAAACATAAATCATACATTCATATCATTTCATAATTCATTTTTCATATTCATTTCAATATTCGTAATTTCTCATTTCGTATATATTATAACCGTCATAGAAGTCACCGTCTAGTACCATAAGGTACTTCTTTACCATTTTCTTTTCCAGATCTTTTATCATTTTAACGTGCACGAGTACAACATCCCCAGCAAGTACCATAAGGGGGTTAAGCTTCGTCAATTCAGCATTCACATACAAGCATTCAATATAACAATCATATCATATTCATATCATCTCAATAATATAAAGCCTTATCATATATCTTATACAGTAATATGGTGAATCAATTAATGTGCAAAAATATGAAACAATGGAATCAACTCAAATGCAGTAAAATAAACCAATTTGCAATAACAATTCAATAAAAATTGAAACGATGCAATTACCGTAGTAAAGAAGTATGTTTACTCACCTGAATGTTTCCAAACTTTAATATTTTTTTTCCAAACCTCAAGCTTTGTTGTATATCCCAATACTCGTCTCAGCTTAATTATCAGAAATCTTTAACTGTTCAAATAACATTAATAAGATCTTAAACCTTTAACTTAGAGTTCTCAATCCTAAAACAATATCAATAGTTCATATTCTTTTTATTATGTTCTAATCTACTCCCAACCTTTCTAAAGGTTGTCTTTCTCCCTCTCTCTAATTTAAAACATAAAGCATATAACAAATTCTAAAATCTCATATATTATTCTAATTAGATAATTTAACCAAATTAACCCTTTATCCTAATCCTAATTTACAACAACAACAACATCAAGCCTTTATCCCACTACGTGGGGTCGGCTACATCCTAATCCTAATTTAATTTAAATTAATTTTTATTTCCGGATTTATTTTAATTAAAAAAATAATATTTCAAGAAAACTCCTAATTCCTACTCTTAAAAACTTCCTTAAGACCCATAAAAATATTATACATTAAGAAATTTTCATAAAAATAAAAATTTGCAAAACCCTAATTTTCCAAATCTCAAAAGTTTTGAAGAAAAAACCTCATTTCCTTGCATAAAATTATCTTATAACTCTATCCTATCATTCCCTTAAAGAAAATCAATATTTCCCCTCAAACCCTAGATTTTTCCTTAAAGAAAATTCTAAAAAAAACTTGAGAAATCACTAGATTGTAACTCACCATAGCCTTCTCTACAATTTCCCTTCGATCTCCTTCGCAAACGGCTGCCGAAATCCACCCCTGGGGTCGCCGTCCTTGCTTTCCCATCGCACCTTTTGCCTGCTTCTCCTTGCTTCTGTTCGGTTCGACCGAACGAGTGAATGAGGGACCGAATGAATTTGGTCCCTTTAATTCCCTTAGATGGTCAAAAGACTATTCTATCCTCACTTAAACAATCCATGCTTTAATAATCTCTAAGGGTATTATGAGACTTCTCTAACATTTAAATTCAAAATTAAGCAAAATTAAATATAAGTTTTATATATCAAATTTCTTAGAATTTTACGTAGAATTTTATAAAATTAATTTCGTCGAAATCCGTCAATTTTGAATGTTTTACTTAAAACTCGTCGCGACGCATCGAAAAGCGTGCGAGGTCTAAAATGGCATTTTTTGGATTTTACAATAAGAAAATACAAAGTACTATAATGCCCCTTGGGATTACACATATCTAAGCCCTTAAGGGAAAAAAAATGTAAAAGCATAATAAAACTTCATAAAATAAAAATAATACATCAATGATAAATATAAAAATCAAAAGTAGAGCGATGTAATCGTGGCCATAGATTGAGGGCCACGCCTATAGTAAACTTTCTATGACTTGATA